TAGACCTGCCCTTTCCAATAAGGTACCCACTGGCACCATGTGGCCATTTATATTTAAATCAATTAAAATGAAATGCAAATAAAAATTTAGTTCCTTGGCTGTATTAGCCACAATTCAGAGCTCAGTAGCCAGTGTAGCTAATGGCTACCATATTGGACAGCAGATAAAGAACATTTCCCTCACCACAGACGGTTCTATCGGACAGCACGGACCTGGAGCATACTTTTCAGAAATGTGAATATCTGAATTCCCTATCACTCTCCCATACTTCTGGCCCCAGAAAATTCTACTACACCTTACAAAGGGCATGTGCTTCAGAAAGATTTCTTTCATCTTTCTAGATATCCTTAAGTCTTCCATCTTCTGATTTCTGAGCCACCGAGGAAGTATGTTTTCTAAGGCCTCTGTCAATATTTACCACAGAATTTGCATTAGTTATTGACGCCTGGGAACATACCCAGTCCAGCCCAATTCTATGAAAGTATGGTGAACGGAAGAACCTCTCTTTCAGGTTGTGGAAGGTGGTTGACGCAGAATCACATGTGAATTCAAAGGGGAACAAATGGTGGTGCTACAAACTGGTTCCTATCTCAATTTTTTTCTGTTTGTTGTAGGTGAACTGCTCCTGCTTTCAAGTGTGATTTTCCTGCTCCAGGTGGTGTGTGGCTGCCCAGAGAAGTGCCGCTGTCACTCATCCTCAAACTCTGTAGACTGCAGCCGGCAGGGTCTGGCTGAAATCCCTTCCAACTTGCCTCTTCAAACTCTAACACTACATTTACAAGATAACCAGATACACCAGCTTCCTGCTTTTGCATTTAGGTCAGTGCCACAGCTCACGACCTTGAACTTGTGTAACAATTCCCTTTCAAATCTGGCCCCTGGAGCTTTCCATGGGCTTCAGCACTTACAAGTCTTAAACTTAACCCAGAACTCCCTGCATTCCCTGGAAAGCAGACTTTTCCATTCCCTCCCACAGCTGAGGGAGCTTGATTTGTCATCAAACAACATAAACCACCTTCCCACATCCCTGGGTCAGCGTTGGGAGAACCTAACCATGTTTTCAGTCCAACAAAACCAGCTTCAGCAGCTCGATCGCGCGCTCCTAGAATCCATGCCCAGTGTGAAGCTACTACTTCTCAAGGACAACCTCTGGAAATGCAACTGCCACTTGCTTGGTCTTAAACTCTGGCTGGAGAAATTTATCTATAAAGGTCAGTAACGTCTATTTGGAAAACTCTGCCTAGGATCAACCTTATCTGTTCTCTGCATTAGAAGGAATGTTGAGGAATGTGCAAGGGGCTGGTGTAAGCTTTTTTCACATTGATGTCATTTCACAGTATGGCAAAAGTGGCCAGTGAGTCATTAAAGGGTGTTTAAATTTATCTACAAATATGATTCATGGAGATAACTTTCTACTTTTTGATTAACGACGACATTATTTATCTAGAAACTAGAAGCTTTTAAGAAGGAGAGAAATTCAATCGCCACCTGAATAACTGCTCAACTCCAAAGTGACATCGAATTCTATTTTCAAGTGTGATCCAACTGGAGTGGGTTGAGCTTTGCCATAGCTACTAACCCTGATGTGAACTGGGCCACCATAACCCTTGCACTGCAAAATGGCCTTATCTACTAACAGGGCCATGTAGCACTCGGCTTATCAGGCTCAGAGGGAATAGATGTGAAGGCATTCCCAAAACTCTGAAGTGCTATGTGACAGAAAATTCTAATAACTTTGGGAAGTGATGACCTCCCGCACGTGACTTTCTGCTATAATTTTGTAATTCACCTGTGGTATATACAAAGAGTCTCCAACCTAACTTGGGTAAGAGTGGTGCCAGGCTTTACAGGCTTCACAGAGTTTACTTGGTAAACTCTGCTGACCTCAGGATGCTCCAGAGAGGAGGAAGTAGAGACAGGCAGCGAGCGTAGTGGGAAAAACTGGAATCAAGGGGGTGAGCTGGGTTTGGGTGTTGTTTGTCCACTTATGGATAACCTTAGATAAGAATTATCCATTACAGCGGATTTATTACCCATTGTGAAGACTTACTTAACAGGGCTTTACCAACTATCAAGCTAGATACAAATACGTTTTTATGGCAAAAAAAATTTAGTCAGAACAGTTTATTTGCCTGAGGTCACATAGTAAATTGGTGGTCAAATTTGGCCAGAATGGAATGTTAGCCCAGTGCTCTTTCTAGAAAAGAATTACTAGTCACCAAAATCCTCCATATAGTCTATTTACCTGAGGAAATCAATTGCCTTAGAGAGAATGAAAACTGGGTCTAATAACCCATTGGAAAGTTCGGTACTGGGAAGTATTAAATGTTTTAAGGCCTGAGGAGACATGTTAATTGTACTTAATCCCATGAACTTAACTAACATTCCTGCCAAATCTTCAGATACGTGAAATACGAAGACCACAATGTCTCCATTTGGCATCGCTGAAGTGCCGCTAGACACATAGGGTCTTTGTAATTAACACATAACATCACAGCAAAGGATGTTGGTTTTATGTATTTACTTACTTAGAGTCCAATGGGAATTTGGTACAACAGATTTTTTTGTTGGAGAGGCTCGTTAGGGGATGTGAGTGGCAGGAATGTCCTCAACGACAGTGCCCTCGGGTTAGCCCCAGTGCCCCTTCTTGTCAGCTTCTGCCCTGCTTTTCCCTTGGCATTTGTAAGGTAAAGGTGACCCAGCTTCTAATGAATCCTTGGTCATATATAATTGCCAATTTAGTGTGTGGCATTTTTAGCATTTGGCCAATTTAGAAATCCTAAAATCATAAAATATGGTTGTTAAGTTCTTTGACTCCAGGAGGGAAAAAAAAGGTGCTTTATAAATTCCATTTGCCTAACTTTTTGCAGGTTGAGGATTTTGGAATTTAGTCGTAGCAGATTCTTATCATCTTTTGCTTTTGTTTTTTAAAGGGGGAATAGTGGACAGTGTCATCTGTGCATCACCGGACACTTGGAAGGGACAGGACCTCCTTAAAATCCCTCATGAGCTGTATAAGCCCTGCCCTTTTCCATCTCTAGATCTGGAGCCCTCACAGGTGCAGCAGCCAGGTTCTGCCCACCAGGCTGACCCAAGGCCTCCTGGGAGCTACAGCACTGGGGAGCGAGACCACTCGGAGTGTGAGCTCAAACCCAAGCCCAGGCTGGCCAATCTGCGTCATGCCGTGGCCACTGTCATCATCACTGGGGTTTTGTGTGGGATTATGTGTCTCTTGATGTTGGCGGCCGCCATCTATGGCTGCACCTACGCAGCTATTACAGCCCAACAGCACGGAGGACCTTTGGTTCAAACTAATGAGTCTGCAAAGGCAGAAGGAAAAGAGGCATTTGACAGCTCACCAGCCTGAGAGCTTGCATCTCAAATAGAAAGAATCACTTTAGGCCAGAAGAATGTATCTGAGTAGAGTTGATGTGTTCACTGTTTACTGCCTCACGTTGCTTTTTCCAACAGGGAAAAAAAAAATGAGTTTGTAAAAAAAAAAATCCCTGGGAAGAAATTTATGCTGAGATTTTTAAAATACCACAGATGAAACAGAGATGATATTTGTGTTCTGTGCTTGAGAAGTTATTAGAATTATCCTATGTGGGAGAAGGCAGTACAGAGAGAAAGGGGAGATACCATCTCTTTAAGGTACTCTTCCCTGCATTAAGTTGCTTTTACAGAGAACAGAAATTCAAATATGTGTGCCAGTCAGCATTCCTGGGAGCTTTATGGTCCATTGGAAAATTGCCCAATTTCAAGCGCCTGGGAAGAAGCTGGTGATCTTACCCAAGGGGCACTGAATGCCTCTATAATTCAAGTTCATGCTAGATCGGTGATACTTTTAGATGTTGTGTATGTTATATATTTAATAGGAGCGTCTGTTGGTTGGGAATTTTGTAGCTTGCCACAAGAGTCAGATTATATTTAATTTTCTAAATCAGAAAACCATTTTGGGCTTTCTAGGCCACAGACAGAGGAAGAGGAGGGTTCCATGTCTGGATAATGGGACTCAGGCCCAGGGTCTGGGGAAGTTTTTTGATGCAAGGGTAAATAACACATAAACAAACACAAAGAGGATGGGGAGCCAGAATTCAGGGCACATATTACTGAAAAGCCATATCCACCAAGCGATTGGAACCTTCCATTTATAACTCTCACAGCAGGAACGAATTTAGGGTGGGCTGAGAGCGAGATAATGGCTTATGTGTATCTGTATCCACATACACAGTGCACAGAGTGCGTAGACTGTACGACCACACCCACACATAAACATACTCGGAGCAATCAGTTTACCCACTAATGAAATGCAGCCGTGGCAGGGTGGAAGCCAGCAGCTGTTGACCACCACCCAGATTGTCTACTCAACACTCTGGCATAGGAAGTAAGAAGGAAGTCTGAAGAGAGTGGGAATTATCAAGAGACTTGAGATATGTGGCAGCAGCCATCCTGAACATTATTTAGGCCGTCGTTTTAAAAAATCAGGCGTGGCTTGCTTTACTCCACAGACACGGTCCTGAAGAGTTGCATGCAAAGTGAATTTTTGTAAATTGAATCATCATTTTAATGCAGTAGGGGAGCTCACTATTTAAAGGAACTTTTCATGGAATCTTTCTGTAGTGACAATAATTGGCTCCAGATTTATGCATTTTGTAAATTGGCATTTTCTCATGCTAGGTTTTCTTAAAGTAGAATCTACCTGCTTGCTCTCATGATGCCCCATCTCATACTTAGTCACCTGTTAGTACTGAAATGACTTTACACAGAAATGTTAAGGACAAGTCAAAAGCAGAGCATGGCAAATATAGGGCAACCTGTCCCTTCAGAAACCTTGAAAGACATTGGTAATCAAGCCCAGCTCTCTTCCCAGCTGAGCCTGGATGCATCACAGATGCCTTCTTAAGGCAGCACTGTAGGCAACCACAACTCATCAACTGAAGTTGGTTCAAAGGATAAAACGCATTTGCCATTCAGGGTCCTGGCTCTACATTCACTCCTGCAGGCCATGTAAAAATGGGTTTGAATCCTAAATCAGTAGTCCATTCCCTAACCTGGGATGTGAATGAGAGGTCCATACATGCGGGAGTACTGTCTCCCAAACTAATGTGGCCAGACCCTTGCCCCACACTGTAAAGAGGCCAAGGAGAAAAGACTGATGAACCTCCCAAAACCTACCCTGCAAGACATACACCAGCGTGCCCTTAACCATCACAGAGGCCATCTACCCCTGCCCACGCGTGCTTCACAACTGTAAAAAACATCGCATATGAAAGACTTCCCCACCCCCGCCCGCCCTGAAGCTAATGAGGAACCATCTTTTTGGAGCAGCAATTTTGCTAAATGATTTTTCTGGGGTAAAAGTATAAACTTTGTTGTTAATTTATTCTGAATATTAAAATAAACCTGGATGTATTAGAGTAGATTGAAACGTTAGCATGGATTTTAAGATCCAAAAGAGACTCCAGAGAAAGCCAGCTGTTGTATCAGCTCCATCCCCAGTCCTGGCACCTCCTTTCTGCTCTGATTCCTGCACCACTGCATTTGGCAAGGCTGAGCAAACGGGCCTAAGGATATAGTGAAAAAGTCTTTCTTTTCCTTGCCGTGGACTGTGAGCCCACGGCCAGGAAAGTAATATGAGAAAGGAAATTTAGAAGATCTTTTTATATGTCATCCCCATTTCACCAAATGTTTCCAGAGCTCACGCTATGTCCTAGGCATAGTGAGAGGTGTTCTCGTGAGCATTCGTCATGTAATCCTGGCAACCATCCCGTGAGATACTCGAACAGATATTACATAAGCTGAGAACTACTGAGGCCAATACGTGTGCTTCCTCTCACTGCTGTGATTTAAGAATGCAAGTGCACAGTGCTCTGCCAGAGGTTTGGTGACACTGCAGGTCAACCCCATCCCCCTGCCCACAGTGATTACATGAGATAGCATCCAATTACAGGAGAGAACACACCACAGAAAACCCAGAATGTGGTTAGCACCCTCACTCGTCAATACCCATTTCCTGTTAGATATCTAAGTAAAGATGATAATTCAGGCAAACAGATTCCTGCTTTATAAGCAGTCTTTAAGGGAAATGATTAAAATGGTGCATACATATATTCAGATTTCTATCTTTTGCCTACAATCACCACAAGCAGCATTTGGCAATGAAAATAATTACTTATCCTGAAATGTCAACAGCTTCTCAGCACAGAAAAATATAAATCAAATTGTTTAGATTAACAAATGCACAGTTATCATTTGTTAATATGAGAGATGAAATGTTTTAACTGTAAAAAACATCGCATATGAAAGACCCAATTTGCAGGGTATTCTGTGAGAACCACAAATTATCTTTCACAACCGCTACAGCTCATGAGGGGTAATTTGCAAACGCCTCATAGATTACTTTCAGCTGTTTATTGCTGCTGTCATATTCATAGATTCCCCTATAAAAATGCCCTTCCATCGTAGAGCCTAGCTGAGGGTACACTGTGAACAAAAATCACGTTTAATGTTGACTGTTTCTGAGAAAGCCATCTAACAGTTCTTCATCATATTTAGTGGAACGGTATGACTATAGACTGGTGATTTTTGCTTTGCCAGAGATCACAGATTCACAAGAGCAGGACCCAAGGGATGCTGTAGCTGTCTGAAATGAAGCATTAAGGAGGGAGTATGAAGAATGCACCCTGCCATAGAGGCTCTGGAGAAAGGGGACCCAACGTCACATCTCTACCTGAAAAGCTTTTAACATTAAGGCAAATATCCCTGACCCTGTAGGAAGATGACAAAATGCCAATTACAACCAGGTGCTTAATTTTGTCTTACAGAAATGAAAGGCTGAAAAGCCACTTACATTATTTCCTTCTAAAGGTTTATGAAAATCAAATCTCATTATTTGAGTTAACCAAGTTACCCCAGAAATAAGACACTCTTGTCTTAGGTCCTAAATATCAAAGGAAGTGGCTAAATCAGTTTATAAAATAATTTATTTGTAGCACACATTAATATAATTATACAGTTAGAAACATAATTTTCTGTTGCAGATCAGGAAATAAATGCTTCCAGTTTGGTCAAACCCACCAGGGTGTCCATTGCTAAATGCTATTAGAAAGAAAGCTACCAGCAAATGATATTACAACCCCACATGGCATCATTAGGCTGTGATACACACACACACACACACGTATATTATGTGTGTGTATATATATATATGTGTGTGTGTATATGTATACATATGTGTATATATATACATGTATATACAACTTTAGAAAATTATCCTTTTTTCCCTTTTGATGAAAATGCTTTATTTATTTATTTTTATGCTCAAATTGCAAGGAAGTCTCAATGAAACCCCCATCTCATTCCAAGACACAGCTTCATTATCCTCTAGTCTTTCAGATACTTGCCTGGAGTAGCCACACCTACTTTTCACTCTGATGACACTGAATATTCATTTGGGTGAATAGAATGTCACCCAGTTACAAAAGCCCATCGAGAAGACCCAGAAAAAGAACCAGAGGATTGGGAATTGTGATGGTCTTCTGGAGTCTAAGCTTGGCAAATTTCGAGAAAGCTGTGGACTAGCATCCCTACTCGTTTCAGACATTGCTGACAGATGATAGTAAACTTATTTATTGAACCCAACCAAGGCCTCAGAATCCTTTTAAATCTGTTTTCTAGGTACCTACTATGGATCAACTGGAATTGACATATGAGATTAAACCTATTTGCTACCCTGATATAGTTCCCTGTCCTTGTTTTACGAATGGGAGGTAGAAGCGTGGAAAAGGAAAGGAACTTTCCCGAAGTCACACAGATAATTAATTACAGGCCTGATAAATGCAGTTGCATGAGCACAGGGTTAGCATGGGTGGTACAATCCAGCCCTGCCATGTTCTCATTCATTTTGTCAAGCTTATGACATTATTATGTTGTTTGGATAAAGATAATCATAGTACCACCGTCGATATTTATTGAGCACCCAATTTTGTGTCAGTTGTTTTCTAAGCATAATACTTTCATTTTCTCTAAGCCTCATGATTGACCGGAAACATGTGGGCATTTTAGGACCATGTTAGAGATGAAGAAACAGGATCATTAGGTTTGGTTTATTTGTTCAAGGTCACACCAGTAGCAAGTGGGTAGTAAAGAATTTGGATGCGGGTCTTTCCAAGGCCAAAACCTGAGCACCTTAGGGTATATGACAAGTTCGAAAAAGTCAGAGTTGGGATCCTTTCCTGGCCCTGCCAGCATTTACCTTAAAACATGGTAGAGAAAAGAAACCCGACCACCAACCAGTATGTCACTGCCAGAGTATGTTCCCACTAACCTCCAAAAAGCCATCTGAAGAAGCCAAAGCAAAACGGGAAAAAGAGGGTTTTTCTATTACCCATGTTATGCTAGAAAAAATGTT